ATTCAACTCATTTTTTTTATTAAGCAAACTTATAAAACATACTTAATTGAAATTGGTTTTTGTGATTAAACAAACTTATAAAACATACATAATTCATTTGGATACATTCTCATAATCCGTAGAAACATCATCATTTTCGGCAAACTCGTCCTCAACACCGTCGTCCGTTGAGTGATCAGGGACATCTTCGTATTCACGATTATGCGGATCAATGAGTAGGATGTCATCAATTTCTGCTTCAGGTTCCTCGATTTCATTGGTGTTTTCTTCTTGCAATGATGGTTCTTCTCCCTCGATTATCCGTCCTCGAGGTGTCACTTTGATAACAGCTAACCAGTTTATTCCCGTTGTAGTAATCCGAGGGTATGGAATGAAGCAAACTTGATCTGCTTGGGAAGCTAGTATGAAAGGCTCGAATTTGTTGTACCTGCAAAAATTAAGACAACGGAGAAACTATTAGTTCTCAGAACATGCATGTACATATGTCTAATAAGAATTTGTTGTACCTTCGTCCACCATTGACGTCAACTACACCGTTCTTGTTAATCCGAACACCTCTGTTGACGACGGGGTCGTACCACTCACACTTGAAGATAACGCATTTCAAACCCATATCTGGGAATTGAACTTCATAAATCTCCTGCAAGATCCCGTAGAAATCTGTTTCGCCTTTCACACATATTCCATAATTACTTGTCGCCCGGTGTCTACCATAGTCATAGGTATGAAAAGTATAGCCTCGGGTAAAATACATCGATGAAGTAGTGACCTTTGCAACTGGACCTTGGAGTAATTCGCGAAACCATGCGGGATACTGAAGATCATCATAATCAACCTGCAACAAAAAGTAATATAACTAGACATATTAGACTTACTTTGTGGTAATGTATGCATAAAATTTAAGTAATAATAAATACATGTTTCCTCAACCACTTGATAAAGTGTTGATCTTTCCTTTTGTCTAACTCAGGTGTCGATATACCAGGTATTGCTTCCTCGACATGAGTCACAAATTGGCTGTAAAATCATATATGTTATGTTATATATTTAATATTGAAATATATATGTATATATATATATATATATATATATATATAACTGTGTATGTTTATATATTTACCTTTCAAAATAAGCAATCAATGGATGCTCGCAATTAAGAAGAATATAAAGGTGTGCACTATGGACGTCTTCATCACTCGACCACCAAATCTCTTTCAATTTCCCACCCAATCGCCCAATTTGACAAAAGATGTCTGGAACATCGTCTTCCATNAGGTGTGCACTATGGACGTCTTCATCACTCGACCACCAAATCTCTTTCAATTTCCCACCCAATCGCCCAATTTGACAAAAGATGTCTGGAACATCGTCTTCCATATATGTTGGCACGACACCACCATCATCATATCTTCTTGGAGCTCGTTTTCTTGTACGTACTTTCGGTGCAAAGTAGTACGATGTGAAATGTGATGCTTCTTCCGTCAAACTTCCCGCAACAATAGAACCTTCAACTCTTTCTAGGTTTTTGGCTTTTCCTTTCAAAGTTTTCATGGCCCTTTCATACTGATACATCCATCCATAATGCACAGATCCACGAAGTAATGCCTCATACGGGAGGTGGACAACTAGGTGTTCCATGACGTCGAAAAAAGTAGGCGGAAATATTTTCTCCAAGTTGCAGATTAAGACAGGGATGTTTTCATGAAGTTGTTGGACAACTTCCACTTTAAGAGTGCGGGTGCTCAGATCCCTAAAAAATGCTCCAGTTCCTATATATTTACAAAAACAAACATTATCCACATTAGTATATATATATGTATAATCATATCATCGTATTACATTAATTAATTACCTGCAAGTGCTTCGCGTACTTTTGCCGGTAGTATCTCCGCAAACGCAAAGGGAAGTAGTCACTGCATGAACACATGACAATCATGGCTTTTCATCCCGGAGAACTTTTGCCCTTTCTCAACACATCTTGAGAGATTTGAAACATACCTATCAGGAAACTTCACTTCTGAAGCCACTCAGTTGAACAACGCAGACTTTTTTTTCTGATGACAGTCTGAATATTGGAACTGGAACTTGCCCATTGCTTTTTATATGTAGCTCACTCCTTGAGCAGATATCGAGTAAGTCTAACCTCGATTTTATGTTGTCTTTCGTCTTCCCTAGGACGTTCAATATAGTGTTCATGATGTTCTCAAAAAATTTCTTCTCTATATGCATCACATCGAGGTTGTGGCGCAAAAGAAGATCTTTCCAATATGGCAATTCCCAAAATATACTCTTTTTGTGCCAATTGTGCTGAACACCATAAAAATCAAGCATATTACTGGGAACATGCCAATTCCCATCACGAGGAGCTATTTCTAGAGCACAGTAGTAATCGATTTGCGCTTCGATTTGTTCTCCAGTTAAATATGGAGGAGGAGTGTCTCTGACAACCCTTTTGTGCCTGAACAATTTCTTGTTTCTTCGGTATGTATGCGTGGTGGATGGGAAGAAATCGACGGTGACAATCGAACCAACTAGTCTTCCTACCATGCTTCAACTGAAACGCATCTGTCATTCCATTACAATAAGGACAAGCTAATCTTCCATGTGTAGTCCACCCAGACAACATACCATATGCAGGAAAGTTACTTATGGTCCACAAAAAAGCATCGCTCGCATCGTAAAGTTTGTTTTCGTTGAACAATCATATGTCCTCACCCCTGTTGACCACAAATCTTTCAACTCTTTTATCAGTGGTTGTAGAAAAACGTCGAGAGATCTTTTTGGATGTTTTGGACCAAGTATTAATATGCTCATGAATATAAACTCTCGTCGCATGCACATCTCCGGTGGCAGGTTATACGGGGTAAGAAAGACCGGCCACAATGAATATTGTCTCCCAGACATTCCAAATGAACTAAAACCATCAGTGCATAATCCAAGATACACATTCCGGCTATTGCTAGCGAAATGTGGATGTACATTGTTAAAATGTTTCCAGGCTCTTGCATCTGATGGATGAGTCATATCTCCATCCGTCTGAGTATGCTCGGCGTGCCATCTCATCCCTCCAGCAGTCTCCTCAGATTGGTACAATCTTTTCAGTCTGTCTGTGATTGGTAGGTACCACATCCTTTGGTACGGTACCCTATTGCGCCCTCGACCTTGCGGTTTGAATCGTGGCTTCTTACAAAATCGACATTCTTCTAACTTCTCATCATCTCCCCAGTAAATCATGCAGTTGTCGATGCAAACGTCTATCATCTCCGAGGGCAACCCAAGACTATATACTAATTTCTGAATCTGATAATAAGATTCAGCAGACACATTGTCTTCTGGCAAATACTGTTTAAACAAGTCTGCCATGCATCCATACAATTTTCAGGTAGATTGTGATCGGTTTTAATACTCATCATTCTAGCAGCCAACGACAATTTAGACAGACCTTCTCTACAACCACTGTAAATTGGCTCATTTGCAGCTTCTAACATTTCGTAAAACTTTTTTTCATCTAAGTTAGGTTATTCAACTTCATCATCATCATGAGTTACAAATGCATCACCTACCATATCATGAACCCTATCACAATCTACCATTTGTTCCTCTTGGTGATGATCATAGCTATAACTACTGCTACCTTCATTACGCAAATGATCAACCGGTTCAACCTGATTACTACCGCTACCTTCATTCCTACAACTAGCATCTTCTCCATGTTGCTACCAAATATAATAATATGGCATGAAACCTCTATTTTTAAATGCTTCCAAACATTTTCACGAGGGCCTAATTTGCTATTGCAGCATTTTCGACAAGGACAAAACATCTTACCACTTTCCTGCGTGAGTGGTGTAGAATCTGCTTGATGTATAAACGTCTCTAACCCTTCCAGAAATTCGTTCGTCACCCTCCCGTTATTATCTCTGTGTGAATACATCCACTGCCGCAACTCGAAAATATTTCCCGGACCGGACATTTTTTTGTGTTTGATCAAGCCTATAGCTGATTTTTTTTGGGTGTGTTTCAAATGAATCACATAAGGTGGTATTTATAGAAATTTTTGAATCTGAGCATTTACTAGGAAATTGCTAGGAAAAGTAGGTACAAAACACGTTTTTATTTAAATTCGATATTTCCTATCCAGTTCCTCCTAATTTCGTAGTAATAAAACGTTTCCTCCTAATTTCGTAGTAAACTTTTACTATGCATTTACGAGGAAAGTCTTTACTACGGCTTTACGAGGAAAATTACTTTTTCCTCGTAAGCTCCTCGTAAAATTACTAAGGTCTTACGAGGAAAACGTTTTCTCGTAATTTTTCGAGGATCTTACGAGGAAATTTGTTTTCCTCGTAAACTCGAAGTAAGGCCTTAGTAATTTTTCGAGAAAGATTTTTCCTAGTAAAATTTCCTAATAAAGGCTTAGTTTTCTTGTAGTGTTTTTAACGTGGAATATTCTGTCCAATAATATGTTTGGACATAAGATAAAAGATTATGCATGTTATAAAACTAGATTAGGCTGTAACTGAGTAAAATCTATACTTGCTATAGAAGAAAACGAAAACTCTTTGCCTCATAGCTTGGACCCAAACACAATGTTTGAGTAGCTGTCGTTGGATGTTGTTCAAGCCTCAAACATTATGGCATCTCATTCTCTTCTGAAACTCTTTTTTAAAGTTTTGCTAGAGACTTGGTTGATGCAATCTCTGCTCCACCATAAGAGTGCAGCTTCAACTCGTTAAGTTAACTAAGAGACTCTCAACTGAAAACTTTGTAATTCTCATCCTCTCTTTTTCACTTGCATTAGCTTGTGTTCATCATGATTCACGACAAATATGAGTTTCCATCTTTTAAATATAATATTCATTATAAGTTCACAGAAAACATATGATTGCCAAAAAAAAAGCAACGAAGAAATGAAAGAAAACAAAATCATAACAAAGTGAAATGATAGTCTTTGCATCGGTGAATGATGAAATTAAATGTTTGCATGATCACATGACTAATCAAACTGTAGTAGCAAGAGCATACGCTAAGCTATATCGTTCACTGGTTGTAGACACAACGTCAAAAGACTTGAGCCTCCCCCAAAGCTCCCCAAATAAGTCTTTCTCAATCTCAATATCCGCAAACCAAATCTTTTTCATGCAAAACTTATCATACTCGTTCCATAAAATCGCCATATTTCCACTAAAACCCATCATCTTAACATGATCATCAATACATAACCTAGAATATAGTACTACATCTAAACCTTTCAAATCTCTCCATAATCTATCGTTGAAGTTATACCAATATATCTTCCCATTACAACGGTATAACACGTTCTCTACCACACAAAGAGTTGATAACCTACACGATCCCATATTCATCATTAAATCTGCTGATCTCCATCTGACACTTTTGGGCAGCTTGTAAGTCACATCTTTTTCCTTGGATTTCACATAGACATCTCCCTCATAGGTTACACTTTTGTATTTGGAGTCTCTACATATGATCTCCTCGTTAGGTATCAGCAAAAACTCCCAGGTTTGTGTCTTGGTATCAAAAACCTCCATCCAGTTGGTTGAATCAAGATCTTTGCAGCCTCCTGTTACATATATTTTTCCATCACAGACGCAAGCAAGGTTGAATGCACGGGCCACGTTCATGCTTGGAGCCTCATGTCATTCGTGAGAAATGAATGTCCATAACCATGACAGTGAAAGAAGGATCAGCAAGACTGTTATTCCTAAATCCTCCAATTACGTAGATATTAGGACCGACCACTGCAACTTGGTTACTTGGGATGAAGATGAGCAAGGTGGAGGATTAGGAGATGAAACCGGGACTAGCTAAAATATTTTTGGATCTATTTGGTGTTTGACGACAGAGAGTGAGCCAAAGTGTTTGGTTAGAGTGTTGCGATAAGCACACATAGATACAACTCTCGGTGCGATGTAAGAGGGTTCGGGTCTGGTAAAGCTTTGTTGAGGCAAGGAGAGATCGGAATCTCTTGGAGACTGATCAGAGAGTTGGATAATCTAGTTTTGAGATGCGTGCTAAACAGTTAAACACCAAATCATCTGGAAGCATCAGAAAATTTGTCATCCTTTTTTTTCTTTTTTCTTTTAGGGTTTAAGTTGCTTTTCACAAAAGATAACCAAAACCTTTAACCCTAAAATCGATAGGTTGCAATAATCCGAAGGAGCAGAGGTTTATGCAAGTTTTATACATATGTTCCTTGTTCGAACATGAAGCTTATTTCCTTTTTCTTTTACTCACCATTCTTGTAATATAAAACGACCTATATACAGTATGTGCTTACAATTTTCCTAAATCTATACCCTAATTGTTTTATGTTAGTAAAATTCCATTTCCCTTTGTTTTGTGTTGTTAGAGCTGGACAATCGGGGTTCCAATCGGGGTTCAGGTTCATTCGGATTTTGAGTTTTTGGGTTCATAAATTTTAGTCCCATTCAGATATTATAAAAATTGGGGTCGGATTTGGTTCGGATTTAGTCGGGTTTGGCTCGGGTTTAGTAACATGTCCAAGATTCGGTTGAACCCGAAATAGTTTCAGTTTCGGATACTAGTCGGGTTATCAGTTATAAAAATACTATTTTTACTTGATTAAACTCAATATATTTTCAATCATTTTATGAAATTTGTGTATTTAGCTTCTTCAAACCATATTGTTGTCCTTCAAAATAATATTGTGAAATTCGTCTATCAACCATATAAGATTTTTCATTGAACAATATATATGTGACAACACTAAATATATCATGATTAATGATAAAAGAAAGCCTTGTATGAACGAAAATCATTTATAATGAAACATAAAAAGTTAAAGTTACAACTAACAATTCTATAAACGTAAGAAATACTATTTAAATTTTAAAAACAACACCATTATCTAAACTTCAAAACAAATTTATTCGTAATTTAACTTCAAATGTAATGTCAATCATAAAAATTAATAAAAACCAAATAAAACAATATCCCCTATATATTAATTGAGAAACATTTGAAAAGATGTAACCTCAAGTTTGTATTAATTAAAAAGTAATCTTGCTTAGTTGTCAATCAATTAGCATATCAATTAAACTGACGTGGCGGCTTTAGGTTCAATTGAAATTTGCTAGGGAAAAATAATTAGAGATGCATATAACGCATGTAACATAGTTTATATATTTATATATATCGCACGCATGTAATGGAAGAAAAGGAAAATATACGATTTGATAACGATTTGCATATATTAACTATAATAACTTCATTCCTTTTAATTTATGGAAGTGTATATGTAAAATGGAAAATACTTAAATTTAAATAATCATAACGTAATTTATAAATCATTGGTGTAAAGTTTTGTTACACAAATATGCAAATAATCATAAAATCATATG